GGCCCCCCCCCCCCCCGGGAGCAATGAGGAATTAAAGCAGAAGTGGATTAGCACCTAGAGATTTCCTTGAAAAAAATACTCTGGGTTATTTTAGTTTAACCTCTGATGTTAGGAGAGGAGGGTTCATGGGACAAGTTGGAAATTAGGTTTAAGCTCACAATGCATTTTGGAAGCTCTCCCTTTCTACCTCCTTTTTGTGGCACCTTGTTTTGTGAGCACAATGCAATTTCTGGTTTCCGACACACTTTCACAGGTGTCTGAACTACCCCATGGATTCACTGTCGGCAGTTTTGCAAGGACCCCACATCTTTGAAAGGTTTCTTTCTCATAAAGAAAAGGGAAGAGGGTTAACGACCTGAAAAGGCAGGTCATTCTCTTTGAATCCTGATATAAGGGGAACATTGTTTTGACAATTCTGAATCTCTAGACACGTGATCTTGACAAAGCTCTCCTGGTTGGGAACAGCTTTGTCCCTTGTGTAGGAGGGCTTGCAAGTTTACAGACTGTCTGCTTGATGGCCGAGACTCGGGCATCCATGACTTATTTGTGTAACACAGGTTAAACGGTCTCAACCTCATTCCTTTGCTTTCTCTTCTTGAAATGGAGGGCTCTGGGGAGAAAAGGGAGATAGATGGATTTGGGGAAGGAAGTGGTTCCTTGACAGGGACAGAGGACGTCGTGAAGTAATCCTAACTTTTGAGATTTTTGAAGGAAACTGTGGAACTATTCAGCAGTTATGTATTTATGCTCTGTATCACCACCCAAAATAAAGCATAGTGGTAATTTTATAAAGGCAGGAATAAATTTAAACACGAGAGAGGAGCTGATGATGAAATATGAATGAGAAATGCAAATTTGGGGAAAATACTAAGTTGTTTTAAAAACCCATAATGTGAGGCTTGAGTGAGGTATTTATATTTATTACTAGATATAGAAATTTATTTTCTTAGCACTCTATTTCCTTAAAAGGAGGTAAAATCAGCTACATGGCAACTATTCCTATTTACGAATGACTGTTACTTCATACATTCATTTCTAACATTTTGTCTTTTTGTTATACTCCTTTTCCCTAGCCTGGAAAATTTGAAGAACATTGCTTTCTTTCTTTTTTTTTTTTTTTCCACTCTAATAAGACTACAATTTTTTTCCCCTAAACTCAAAATGCAAAAATTATGATACTCTAAAAATGCATGTGTAAAGGACATCTCCACTTATACTGAGATAACAGAGTTACAATTAAAATGCAATTTAACTTTCATTCTTGTTTTTTAAAATAGTTGCTTACGTTAGAAATTACCTTACCTATCATTTATCATGTAAAGAAGGCATACGTTTACAGACTCCGCATTTTATGGCCTGGACTTGAGTGTCCATGACTCATTATTAGCAAACATATTTCTTAACAATACTCTCTCGTCTAAAACGAATAGAACATGCATCCAAGGCACCACGTGTTTAGGGTCCAAAAACCTGTCACCCTAGACACGTGGAGAGTTAATGCAGCTTCCAAAAGCTGTTTTGTTCTCCATCCATAGTCTGTGTTCTGTGACAATCTGATGCTCACGAGCTCACGTTGACTATTTTGTTATTTAATGTGCACTTTAAGAATTAATAAAAGCAAGTCTTGCTAAATATCTGTAGGACAGATAAAAGCAAATCTCACTACACATCTGTTTGACAGCAAATATTGCACAAAAAACCTTCAGTGTTTGGTGTTTTAATCCTGAAGCAATTCAGAAATAAGTTTTTGCAGGCAAACAAAATCATATACTAATTCCTGGAACATGGCGTAGAGCAAGTGAGAAATAGAAATATAATCCTCAACACGATGTAACAACATATCTGCGACATTTCATATGAACTTTAAAATAAAATCGTTTTCCTTTCCAAGATAATTTTTTGTATTGTATCTACAAGCTGATCTTTAAAAAAATATATACATGGTTTGAAGCCAGATCTTCTTTAAAGAGATTTTATTTTCCCAATATGAAGTGTTCCATAGCCCAGTAACTAACTCTTATTAAATGCATACTATGGGTCAGTCACTGTTCTCAGCTTGTATATGTTTCACTTCATTTAATGTTTAAAGCGATCTTATGAGGTAGGGATTCTTACTACTGTCATTTGATAGATGAGGAATCTGCAGACACTAAGCAACTTGCTGAAGGTCAAACAAATAGTGAAAGATGAAGAGCTTGAACCCAGGCAGTCTGACTTCAGAACCACCATGTTAAGTCACTACCCCGTATTTCACAGATTAAGACCAGAGCTAGCTGATCTCTTGAGGAATGAGAGAGAAAACTATGACACAGTTGCATTGAAACAGTTCTCTCCTCTAGGACTCTGTTGCCTCCATCTGAAATGCTGAATTTAAGGCTTAAGAATGAAAGAAAAAGGAATCATACATGACATTCCCCAAAAAAGAATCATCATCTGGGAAGCAATTTTGATATTTATAAAAACTACTTTAAACGTTCCAGATTGCTACAATATCGGATGGTTTTTCTGGAAATGAAGTTTCCTAGAGAGCTCAGAGCTTGTTAAACACCAAGGCTGCCACTGGAGCATTACATATTTCATCTTCTCTTTTGGCCACTGTGATAGAACATTATGCCACTATATCGTAACACCAACCATCATAATATGGACATTGAGAAACTGTAGAGATCATGTGTGAGAAGATGACTCAAGCATCTGGGCCTTTCTTTAGGGTTTTGAAACAGGTCATGGAGATCCAGGAGACCACTGCTAACCCAAAAGATCCACCTGTGAATTGGATCTTACAGTACCCTGAAACGTGTGGCTCTATGGAAATTCCATTAAGTCTAGCATTCCCCCGCTCCCACCCCGAGGAATCTCATCTTTGTAAATCTCAGGACTCTGGGTCTCACTGATTTTCTTATTTGAAGACTTTGGGAATTTGGAACTAAAGCAGGTTTTCTAAGGTGCCTGAACCGTGGACATTTAGTACGAGACAGGACCTTGAAAACCAACTTGTCTGACTCTTCATCACTTTGCCGGTGAGAAAACCAAAAAACAGAGATTACAACTTTGTCTGATGTCCCAGAGCCTGCCAGCGACAAAACCACAATGGAAAGCAGGTTCTCTGGCTCTAAGTTCAGAGTTTTTAATGAACTGACTTGGCCTTCATACCCATCATAGCCCCTGGCCTTTTAGATCTGTGGACATGAGTCTGTGGCACTTCTTTTTCTGTCCTTTTTGGAGTCTATGGCTGAAGTTGCCACCCAACTCTTTGACAGAACAATCAACACCACATGGAATAGCAGAGAACTAAAACACTACCCTGAATACTACATACAACGCTACTAGAGATTATCTTAGTGTTCTTGCACCTTCTGTAACATGGGAGAATGTTTTTTACTATTCAGTAAATATATAGCCATAATCTTATTTTTACCCATACCTTTAAGAAGTACGGGTGGAGAAAACCATGATATAAAACAATTTTTCATTCTTTACCTTACTACCAATTTCATTGTAGATTTTGAGGAAATATTATATTTTGCTTATGGAAATGTGTGCATTAAACCAATGATCGTTTCCAGTGATTCCTACTTGTAAAGGAAGAAAAAACGACAGATTAAGAAGTTTCTATGGTCCCGAGAGCTGACGTGCATGTTCACGCCATTTATGACCCAGCTCAGGTGTGGTATCACACAGATAAGAAGACATACCAGGAGCAGCTGCAACAACAGCACCAACAAAAGCAACACGTATTGTTGGGCCTCTGGTTTCCAGGTGCTTGAGACACAGCAGGTGTTTCTTCATTCTGTGACTGTTGCCTTTTTCGCATTTCAGCTACTGCAGTGCCCAATTGGCTGAAAGAAGAGAGAAAACATAAGGTCTGAAAAAATTATGATAAGGGTAAGTCGCCTATGCTGAAGGAAGCATAATTTCATTGAGGGGTCAGGAAAAGATAGTTTGAGAAAAGGTAAAAATGAATAAGCTTTAGCAGTCAAGTTGAAAATTCCCCAGAAATTTTTAAAGGCGAATATTCTAAAAACTTTGGGAACAAACTTCTACCATTATCTACTACATACAATCTTGGTAAGTGTTGCCACGTAATCGGAATCAGTTGGCAAGGTAAATATGATAAGGTTTGAAAATTTATTTTTAACTTCCTTCTGTACTCAAGGATGATTACAGCCGCTTGCCTTTATGAACACCTTTAAATAGTTATGGGGGTATGAATAACACGTTTCTCTGCTATTATTTACAATACAGTTATTTGAGCTTTACAAACCATTGCTGCAAGGTTTCTAACTCTATAACATGGTGAAGAACAGTTTGGTTTTGGTCCTCTCTCATCTCCTTTTAAAACGTACAGTCTCCTTTTTGGTACTCTGGCTCACCGTCCAGGGGCCTTCTCTTGATAATATGGGCAAAATGCCTTACTCTGTGTTAGGTGTCCCTGTAGCAAAGGCATCACCTCCCTGTCCTGCACTGCTCAAAATTTATTTTCATTTAGTAGATAACCGTGGAAAGACTAAAAATTTATCAAATCCAGGAGAATCATTTTGGTGGAATTTATATATCATGGCATATAAGAAAAATACTGAGGTGCAGGCTGCCCTAACTGTGACTTTACAAATGCAGCCAAGTGAGTTGCTACAGATTTATAAGACCAACACTGATCTAGGAGTTAGTTGATGATAAAAAAATAAAGTTTTATTTAGTAGACTAATATAAAATTTAGCATGAACTTTTAGAAAAAGGAATGAATTCTACTGAATAATATTTTCACAAATACACAATGTCTGTAAGTCACACGTATATATTGTCATATGTGTGACTGAGAACAATACTTGTTAAAAACATAAAGTACTTTGGGCTTTTTTGGCATTGTGAGCTCATGCTTTAAAAAATACATTTTCAGCTCTGAATACAATGACAGATACTTTAAAAAATACTGTATCCTTAAAAATAAGATAAACATCTCTTTAGACCAGAAACAGATGAGAAGACCACAATGGTAGATAAATGGGGGTAAAGTCACAGTCATTTTGTAATTCAGGTATGGGAACAGAAAGGTGCAAAAGTTCCAAACTCTAGTGGGGTAAAAAGTGCTCTACCATGAGTAGTGGGAGACCAGAGTTCAGACCGGAGTTTTACCTGAATAAAATCAGCGGCTGGGTTTCTGCCACTCATAAAAAGATGCTAAAAAACTATCTGTACCATCAATGGTACCTGGCTGCAGGAGAGAGGGGATGCATAGAGAGCCAATGAAACCTGACCTAAGCCAAACAGCCCACAGGTTCTGTGACTGGGCCAAGGATGTCTCCAAAGCCATTCCTGGATGGGAGGAAATCCTGAGATGCCAATGAAAGAGCTACTTTGGGCCTGAAGGTCTTGGGGGACTAGTGGAGACAACTGAGAAGCACTATAAAGAGTGAGAGTGAGAAATACACCTCTTACTCAGTGTGTTGCCTGAAAGCAAAAAATCCAATTAACACTAAAAACAGAAAGCCAACTCAACAATCATGAAATGAATATATTCCTGAGCAAATGCAAATAACAGAATCATCCAAAATTAGTGTAATAAACATGTTTAATATAAACAATATGATAAAGGAAAACACTGTTCATATAAGAGAACAAGAAATTATAAGAACAAATATAGGCAAAAATGAAACAAGAATAGACAGAATGAAAAATGGAAAATATAGAAACAAAACACATAGCCATTAAAAAGATTCAGATGGAATAATAATTTCCCAAAGCCACCCCCAAGAGAATAAGTGTCAAGGACTGTACCCAGAATCCAGTGAAAAGAGATAAAAAGATGAAACATAAAAAAGGGAATTGAGACAAGCATAGCAGTAACATTGAAAGACTCCCCCATATGTCCAACAAGATTTTCATCATCAGTAGAGTATTAACAGAGAATATTAACAGGAAGTATTTTCAAGGACACTGGCTGGAAACTTTCCAGAATTGGAAGGAAAAAACAAACAGAAGCCTTACAGTGAAAGAGCATACCACATGCTCATCAGGATTTATAAAATAAAAGTAAATCCACACATATATGCATAAAAATAGAACCACAGAACTCCCAAATAAAGATATAAGATGAATTACCCACAGAGGAGTAACAAGCACTGACAGCAGAATAGTGCAGCAGTCAGACAAGAAAAAGAAATAAAAGTTATCCAGACTGGAAGGGAAGAGGTAAAATTATCATTATATGCAGATGACATGATACTATATAGAGAAAACCCTAAAGACTCCACACAAAAACTACTAAAACTAATAAATGAATTCAGCAAGGTATCAGGATACAAGATTAACACACAGAAATCTGTTGCATTTCTTTACACTAACAATGAAATATCAGAAAGGGAAAGTAAAAAACAATCCCTTTTAAAATCACACCCCAAAAAATAAAATAAAATACTTAGGAATAAATCTGACCAAGTAGGTGAAAGACTTATATGCTGAGAACTATAAAACATTGATAAAGGAAACTGAAGATGATTTAAAGAAATGGAAAACTATCCCATGATCTTGGATTGGAAGAATTAATATTCTTAAAATGGTCATACTACCCAAAGCAATCTACAGATTTAATGTGATCCCTATCAAATTGCCCATGACATTTTTCACAGAACTAAAACAAATAATCCTAAAATTTATATGGAATCACAAAAGACCTAGAATTGCCAAAGCGGTCCTGAGGAAAAAGAACAAAGCTGGAGGCATAACCCTCCCAGACTTCAGACAATGCTACAAAGCTACAGTAATCAAAACAGTATGGCACTGGCACAAAAACAGACATATGGATCAATGGAACAGAATAGAGAGCCCAGAAATAAAGCCACACACCTAAGGTCAATTAATCTTCAACAAAGAAGGCAATAATATACAATGGAGAAAAGACAGTCTCTTCACCAAGTGGTGGTGGGAAAGCTGGACAGCTGCATGTAAATCAATGAAGTTAGAACACTCTCACACTATACACAAAAATAAACTCGAAATGGCTTAAAGACTTAAATAGAAGACAGGACACCATAAAACTCCTGGAAGAGAACATAGGCAAAACATTCTCTGACATAAATCATAGCAATGTTTTCTTAGGTTGGTCTCCCAAGGCAATAGAAATAAACACAAAAATGAACAAATGGGACCTAATCAAACTTATAAGCTTTTGCACAGCAAAGGAAACCATAAACCAAATGAAAAGACAACCTACAGAATGGGAGAAAATATTTGCAAACAATGCAACCAACAAGAGCTTAACTTCCAAAATATACAAACAGCTCATACAACTAAACAAAAAAACCCCAAACAACCCAATCAAAAAATGGGCAGAAGACCTAAATAAGCAGTTCTCCAAAGAAAACATACAGATGGCCAATAGGCACATGAAATGATGTTCAATATTGCTAATTATCAGAAAAATGCAAATCAAAGCTACAGTGAGGTATCACCTCACACCAATCAGAATGACCATCATTAAAAAGTCCACAAACAATATATGCTGGAGAGGGTGTGGAGAGAAGGGAACCCTTCTACACTCCTGGTAGGAATGTAATCGGTACAGCCACTATGGAGAACAGTATGGAGGTTCCTTAAAAAACTAAAAATAGACTTACCATATGATCCAACAATCCCACTCCTGGGAATATATGTGGACAAAACTCTAATTTGAAAAGATACATGCACCCCAATATTCATAGCAGCACTATTTACAATAGCTAAGACATGGAATCAACCTAAATGTCCATCAACAGATGAATGGATAAAGATGTGGTATATATGTACAACGGAATACTACTCAGCCATGAAAAAGAATGTAACAATGCCATTTTCAGCAACATGGATGAACCTAGAGATTATCATACTAAGTGAAGTAAGTCAGACAGAAAGACAAAAATCATATAATATCACTTATATGTGGTATTTAAAATATGATATAAATGGACTTGTTTACAAAACAGAAAGAGACTCACAGACATAGAAGACAAACTTACAGTTACCAAAGGGGAAAAGGGGGGTGATAAATTAGGAGTTTGGAATTAGCAGATACAAACTATATATAAAGTAGATAAACAACTAGGTCCTACTGTATAGCACAGAGAACTATATTCAATATCTTGTAATAACCTATAATGAAGAAGTATGAAAAAGAATATATGTACATGTATAACTGAATCACTGTATAACTGAATGTATATGTATAGCTGAATCACTGTATAACTGAATCATTCTGTACACCAGAATCTAACACACCACTGTAAATCGACTATCCTTCAATTTTAAAATGTTTTTAAAAATAAATGTAATCTAATTATTGGGGGAAAAAATATATAGAAGAAAGCACTAATAGCTTCAGAGAAGGAAAAGGATGTCTTACAAAACCAAGCCAAAAGGGAAAAGATGATTTTTGATACAGCTAATTTATCAAAAACCTTTGAACAAATAAAAGAACATAAAGTAAAAAAATGAGAACCAGACTGGAAAATACAGAGGACTAATATCTATAGCATATACGTAACACATCACAGTTTAAAAATACAAATAACCTAATAGAAAAATAGGCAAAGGAAATGTGCAGGCAGTTTACAGAAGAGGAAAATACAAATACCCCAGATTAGATGAATAGATGGTCAAAACTAGTGACTAGGGAAATTCAAATAAAAATATTATTTCATATCCAAATTTCCGACAGGTAAAAAGTCACACAATACCAATTTGGGGGCAGAACTTGGGTAATGAAAAGCTCTCATACAATCATTTTGAAGAGTAACATTGACTATGTAACAATGTAGTTAATATACGTAACTTACAACAAATTCCACTTTCATGTTTATACTTTGAA